CATATAGATATATATATACCTTATTTTATTTTAATATAATGCTATATAATATATCGTACGCGTGTATACAATAATATTTTCTAATTTCTACTGATTTTCTAATTTCCGATTTACTAATTTCTACTCTATGCCCGAGTTTCTCACAGGGGCGATAAAGAATCGAGAGTGAATCAAGCAACAACCATCGTGTACAGTGTAGCAATACGATGCTGTTTATTAACAGTAACAATATATTCCTTTGTAACAGTACGCGCGCAGGCACACAGACACAAACATGTAACGTCGCTGATTCACCTTAGCTCTCTTGTGAGACAGATCGATAATAGGTTTATTACAAACCAACACAGCAATTCTTGTTATTCGAAACAGCATGTGTAATATCGTTGGGTGATTAAAATTTGAAATTGATGATATACAATCACAGGTTCGTAGATCAATATACGTTAATTCATCATTTCATAATTAGAGAGATTTACGTTTTATCTCTTTTCATCACACATACTACTAAGTAGGCACATTTCTGTCTATAACTTCCTCTCCTTTTTCATCCAGCCAAGCGTCTTTCTTCCTCTCACACTCTCGGGCGCTCTCACTCCAACATTTCTGTCTATAACTTCCTCAATCTATCTGTTTGTCTGTCTGTCTGTCTGTCTATCTGTCTGTCTGTATGTCTGTCTGTCTGTCTGTCTGTCTGTCTGTCTGTCTGTATGTCTGTCTGTCTGTCTGTCTGTCTGTCTGTCTGTCTGTCTGTCTGTCTGTCTGTCTGTCTGTCTGTCTGTCTGTCTGTCTGTCTGTTCGTCCGTCCGTCCGTTCGTCCGTCTGTCTGACTGTCTGTCTGTCTGTCCGTCCGTCAGTACGTCTGTCTGTCTGACTGACTGACTGACTGACTGACTGACTGACTGACTGACTGACTGTCTGTCTGACTGACTGACTGACTGACTGACTGACTGACTGACTGATGTCTGTCTGTCTGACTGACTGACTGACTGACTGACTGACTGACTGACTGACTGTCTGTCTGACTGTGTGATGTCTGTCTGACTGTCTGTCGGTTTGCTTGTCTGTCTGTTTCTCTCCGTCTCTTAAATTCCCCGCGGACTTTCTCAGTGTCTCTAATTATCTTTTGTTTTTTGTTTAATTTTAGTTATAGCAGGACACAATATCACGTTGTTACTCTTCGCTCTGTTCCACGCGCGCATACATGCAGATAGCATGTGTTCATTCGCTCTCTGCATCACGCATATCTCTTCTATAACATAATGTACGGCCTTATCTCCGAATTACAACACAGCTTCGTACGTTGAATATAAGCCCAAAACTAAGGAGATTCAGTCGGCGGGAGAGGTCCGTCGCTCTTATCTTTGCATCGCAATGAAACGCGCGAAAAAATTTCCAATTCGTCGCTACTACTCGAATGCTGCGAATGCCGGTAAGGTGAGCCGATCGGCGCATTCTCGTGTTTATGCTTAGCGTGCGTTGACTTAGCGCCTAGACTTAGACTTGCTTAGACTTAAAGCCTAAGCTCATACGTGTGAGGCTACATGCAGAAATGTATGGATTCGATTCTATGTTGATAACGAGGGTATATTGGTTCACGTTACAGTTATTGTGATTACAATGTCTTGCAGTATTAGCGATGCTATAGGTGTATGGTCTAGAAAATCCGATTATGTTCGTGCTGATAGATTGCGAGTTCGATGTGCAATTTTAGTCGTCGATTGTTCAGCCATCGCCGACTACACGCGACTAGAGTCGGCCGCGCGGGGCACCTCGGCAGACGTGTCACCACCTGCGCGTGCGTGTCGGTCCGCGTCGCCGATTCTGATAGATATCAGCGCGCATTTCTGCCGCGCGATTCCTCGCGTGCTTCCGCAACTCTATGCTCTCCTTCCACCTTACCTCATCCACGTAGCCGGCTTTAAGATAACATAACATAACATAATATAATGTAATATAACATAATATAGTATAGTATCGTATAATATAGTATAGTATAGTATAGTATAGTATAGTATAGTATAGTATAGTATAGTA